ATACTTAGAAATAAGATGTAATTTCCTAGCAGGGAGGATGATTAAACTTTGAACATCTTACCTGGGTGGTGGTGGACTCACCATCATTGTTTGGAATCTTTAAAATGAGATAAAGCATATCTTTTAGAAAGATATTTAAATTCAGCTTCTAGGAAAAATTCTGCCTGTGTCTGCAGGAAGTCACGTGGGACGTAGGATGGTCATAGTGGTCTCTTCTGGCCTTAGAGTCTGTGAATCCTGATGTTCGTTTGTTCCCTTCATGGGCCTTGGAGAGAACAGGAAGCTCTCTCCATGTTCAAAACACTTGCAGCTCTGCTTCAAGATAATGATTATGAACAAATCTCATGCTTCAGGGATTCAGTCAGTCACCTGCAGGAGTCAGGAAGGATATTTCCCCCCAAAGCACAATTGGCCAGATGTATTTGGGGTGGGAGAAGGGGGCAGTCACCTTCTTCTGAAGAATCAGGCAGTGGCCACAGCTGGAGATAGGATACCGGACAGGGTGAACCTAATGCTCTGAAGAGGCACAGAAAATCCTTTTTCTTAGAAGCTTGACTGGTGTATCTTGTTCACATGCACAAGATCCAACTGATCACCACATTTGGGGTTGAAAAGGAATTTCCCTCCAAATCGTATTGGCAGGAACCTAGCAGGTTTTCACTTTCCTTTGCAGCATGGAGCACAAATCACCTGCTAGGATCATCTGGGCAAATCTCACCTAATCAATTCCCTTCCATTTCCGGGGCCTCAAGGTGTTGGTGGCACCTCAGTCTCTCCTGTTTTCTGCTTGTGGCACACAACAATTTAAACCCAAGTAATTGGGCTCAGTATAGGAGTAATAGGGTGAAATTTACTTGCCTGTGATATACAGGGCAGACTAGATGATCTAATAGTCCCATCTGGCCATGAAATCTATGAAAAGGTGTACGAGGTACACGAATTCACCCTGTGCAGCCAGTCTTTCTCCCTTGCAAAATTCCAGTACAAGCCTTGCCTCTCTGCATCAGGTTGAATTCCACACTTAGGCTGCAGTCATAAACACACAATGTGACTACTCAGGTGTATAAAGTTAATCATGTGTGTTTGCAGAATCAAGGCTTTAGTGAATACATGTGCCCCATCGGATAATTTGGCAAAGTTTAAACATCACTAAATTTTCTTAGCTGTTGGAGTAAAGATACAATTAATCGTAAACTAGAATGTCCGTGCCAGCAGTTTAAGAATCTAGGCAGCCTGGCTCTGGAACAATTATAATTTAGAACTGCTGCATCATCAGATTGATGTGAACTATTTCTGGCCATTGGAGATGAGAAAAGATTAGATTTCTGGGCATTTGTTTTAGTTTGTCAGGTATAGTGGAAATATCAGTGCTGTAGGATATGTAAAATAAATTAAGATAATTGCATGATTTTGTACTGAACAACAGTTTTTCCTTCTGGTACTTGGATGAAGCAACTAAAAACTCAAAGTAAAATGCTACATATCTGTGAAAGTGTAGTGTCATTAAGGCCTAGAGTTTGGCACACCAGGAAGCTAGTTACAACTCACCATTCCTGGAACCAGCTCTACACCAGCCTCTGTCTGATGGACTGCATTAATATATGCTGTCTGGTGATGGGTCCCAAGTGTCTATCTGCCAGCCTGCAATTGCCAGAGCACAGTCAGCTTTGGCCACACCTCCTGCATGCTTCATCCATTTGAGCACTTTACACGTGATGGGTACTCTTCCACACCAGGGACTCTCTAGCAGGGAACATTTGGCCTCTTTCTGTTCCCTTTTAATGCTGGAGCTCTGCAAAGGGTTTGAAGCAGGTCTCAGGACTGATCCTACAATATTCAGTACTTGGCAAAAATGCTATGTTATCAGTATTCTACCACCTTAATAATCTAATAATGAATTGTTATTATTATTTATTAATACAGTGCCATAGGTGTGCATGACACTGTATAAGTAGTCACAGTATTCATCTAAGAGTTTGTTCTCCCCGGTAGAAAGATAAAATATGTACAGAACAAAATATATGTTCTCAGAAAGTAGAATCTGGAAAACAGCTGTGGGTAAAAAACAGATAGCATGTAGACAAAATAAAAGGTCACAGTTAAGCTTATGTTGAATCAGCACTTGCTTAGTTTTGAGTTTATATATACTTAAATCTCCAGAGATGTGACAAAATAATCATGTGTGGCCTGTTGATGAGGTATGTGCGAAAAATAATTTATTTTAGCTCACTTGTTGACAGCAACTTTTCTGTCCTTTTCATAATTGTAGATCAGATCATTATATAAATTAATCTTAAAAGAACATTTAAAAAATTGTGTAACCAGAACACAGACGATATGTCTGTTATAAAGTAGTGGATAGCATCTACTGTGAACAACAAAGACAGCTCAAGAATACATATGTCTAAACTAGGTAATCTGGTCAAATTAGTAAAATCCAGGTGCCTGGTGTTTAGTTAGTTATTGTACATTTTCAAAAAAAGGCCTCTAATTTTGCATTTCCAGTTTTGCTTCCATAGACTGTTTCATGTGAAAATGATAGAAATTTAGATATCAACCAGGAACGATATCTGTGTCCACAAATCATGTAGTTGGATGTCCAGGGGAAATTTTCTGGTCTGATAGGGTTGCTTTGCATCACTCCAACTGTTGACAAGTTTAGCAGCCAGCATAGAAGCTACTCTGATATCCCCTTATCAGCCTCTAGCATAGGGGATTTTTCTGTGTAGATGATGTAGTGGGCTCATCTTCATGCCCCAGCTGCTAGAGTAATTGCTGGGAATCATAGGCAGTCATGCTTAAAGTAGAGCAGTCTGCTTCCTGCTGTACTTTATGCTGGGCACTGAAATCAATTTTGCCTATCACCCCACCAGTCCCTATCCCTAGCTTAGCTCAGAAGGACTAGAGAATCTAGCCCCTAAACTCTATCACTTTCGCATGCGACTGATTGTACCTGCAATTGATTGTAGATGCAAAATTAGCATTTCAATTGAGGCACCTTAAAAAATGTGATGCTAAGATCCATGAATGTAGTAGTGGTCTAATGACAATTCCAAGATACTTTTTCTCATACCACACAGCAAACTTTAGACCAGACTGCCAGACAGTCTCTTTTCCCCAGTAAATGGAATGCAGGTCAAAGCCAAAAACGTTGGATCCATTTCATTTAATGTGCCTCTTCTAACTTTGTTGCCTTGATCTGAGGTCACATATTCCCGATAATGTAGTTCCAGAGACAGAGCTAAGTGACGGTATCGTCTTGAGGACAGTAGAGAGGAAGAACAGTTTTGTGATTAAAGCACTGGAGATCGGAGTTCAGTTTCCAGGTCTGCCACAGCCACACTCTCTCTCTCTCTCTCTCTCTCTCTGCCTCAGTTCCCCATGTATCAAATGGGGTTAATACTTATTTTTCTCCTATCTTTTGTCTGCCTTGCTTTACATTGTAAGCACTTCAGAACAGGCTCTTTCTCTCACTTTGTTTATATAGTGGATAGCATAGGGCCTGATTCATTTCCTCTTGATGTCAATGGAGAGATTGCTGTTGACCTGAAAGGGAATTGGATCAGACCTATAGTGGGACCCTGATGTCATTTGGGGCTTCTAGGACTGACCATAATACAAAATAAGTAACAATACTAAGAAGAGGTTGAGAAGTGAGAAGAAATACGAAGAGAGCATTTGGCAGCCCTGCAGGTTGAATGTGCATTCAGTGACCGGGAGCATATGCAGAGGACAAATGTCTTATCAGAAGAGAGAACCTGTGCATGGTAGATTAAATGTATTAACCTTACTCTTTGCATTTACTTGTTGCTTTCCTCACAGTATGGAGATGTGTGATGAGAGAAACAATATCACCATGTGTCCTCTTTGTGACAATACATGCAGTTACTGGAAAATGAGTTCTTCCTGTGCCACTGCTCGAGCGAGTCACCTGTTTGACAATCCAGCAACTGTCTTCTTCTCTGTCTTTATGGCTCTGTGGGGTAAGAAATTTATGGCTTTGACGTGGGGTTTTTAATTCCTTTAAATACAGAAGGGGAAAAAAACAAAAAAAAAGCTAAACCAATATTTTTATGCTTGGACAGTTAATTATGTCATGTTCCTCCCCACCCAGCCCCCTCCCCCCCTCTTTCCAATGAAACTGTCATCCCTAAATTTATATTCTGGACCAAAGGTTAAAATTCAGGAAGTTGCTTAGATGAATATAAAATGAAATTGTTAAGCATATGTCATAAAACTGCTGCATGGCATGTCTAGATTTCATTAAGGGGATTGCATAGCTTGCCAACAAAATCTACTTACAGAGCCAGTTTCCAAATTAGAACATTGCTGAAGAGATGTATAGAATATGTGGGGCAGAGAGGGGAAGAGGAGCGTAATGGCCATTCATGTCTCAGAACAAAACATGACTGAGTCTTGCTGTGCTTGCAATTAAGTTTATCAGGGAACAGGCCTGGACTAGTGGTCTGCACAGAGGACCATGAACTTGAAGCTGCTGCAATCTAATTATTTTACGAATGCTGATTCCTCCTGAAATTCTTGAGCAAGTTTCTCTGCTTCAGTTTCCACTTGTAAAATTGAGTTGTTAATATTAGTTGTCCCAGGGAAGTGTTGTGAGAATGAATTAAATAAAGTTTGTAAAGTGGTTAGAAGCACTGTGTAAGTGCTAAACACTATTACTATTGTCTCAGCTAGATTCCCCAGTGTGGACAGTAGCCCAGATGGTATCAGAAAACCCCTACACAGGAGATTTCTGTTGAAGAGAGATTCAGTGCTGAGGTAACCCAAGGACTTATTCCTTTAGGATGGAGAACTCAGTTAGTCAAGATCATTGCCACTGGTGGGAAGCACAAAGTAATAGTTTCCTTTTAGCTGGTTGGCTGAACAAAGAGAACTCCAATTTCTAGCATTACTAATCTTTGTGGGTGACATTCGCTTGCTGGTGGAGGTTTCATGTAAGGCCCTCTTGGCTATGGAACCGTCACATTGGCCCTGCATGTGGGGGAAAACCAGTTAAGTATTCTAATCACATCCTCTGCAAGTCAGGGGGTTTCCATTAGGAGAGTTGGAGATAAATAGTCTGGAGCCACTTGTGTACAGAACTAATACATAGGAACCTTGCACGTAGGGAGCACAGATGAAGACTAGCTGCCATTCCAGTCCACAGGCTGCATTTCAGCCTCATAGCCTGCCTCCAGGTTGGGGGGGTGGATTCATTCCCAACATCCACCACATTGAATAGCCACAATGTCACTAGTACATCACTAAAACCAGCACAAAGAGATCTTTGCCTATGCAGGCTTTCATGTATGAGTAGTGATCTCCATTTTTGATACTGTATCTCTTTTAGTTCTGGAAATACAACCCTAGTTTCCATTTACTGAGATATATAGGGAACCATTTTGTTTATTAGCAGTAATTTAAGATGAGGTTAGTGTATCATTCAAAATAAAGTAAGAACTTTGTTTTCCTGGCCAGTCATCAATTTATAGAAGCTGCACTATCATCAGCTATGACTGAATATTCTATTCAATGTAAGGTAAGGTTGGAAGCGGAGTGGGTACCTACTATATGGTCCTGTTGAGAGTTGGTTTAAAATGCACTCAGCAAACAGGCATAATAAGATAATCAACAGAAAATCTGAAGAGGAGAGGTGCAGAATCTGTGGAGATGAGTGATCTGTTATCTTGAACAGCATCTTGTCGTGTTACATATATTGAGAAATGTGATATAACCCGGAGCAGCATGCCAACCCATATCAGAGACTTTAAATAGCCTGATTCTGTCATGTGGTAATCAAATATCTACTTGCGCTCTCTCTCTCTGTGAATTGACAGGTACTCCAATTGGTCTGTAGCCTACTCAAATGTATCATGACATGGAAGATTGCCTGGGTTCCATTCCTTAGCAGAGTATATTAGTCCCCTCCACCCATTTTTGGTGATTGAAGGGGCAATCTCTATTATTATGCAAAGTCAGAGTAAACAAACAACTTGGGGGGGTGTCGGCAAAACACCTCCCCCACAACTGCTTGTGTATTTGGATACTTGTCTATCCTCCATCACCAGAGCATCTGAAAGCCTCACAGACATTTATGAAGTTATTCTTTTGAGCAGGGAAGTATTGCCCCTATTTTACAATGAAGACCTGAGATATAAGGCGATCAAGGCCCCGATTTTCAAAAAGTATTTAAGCATATGCCTAACTTAAACACTTGAATTTTTCCATTAAGTTTAATACTACTACTTATATGGTTAAGTACCTCAAAGCAAGGCCTCAAGCCTGGATACATAAAGGTACATAGGCACCTAACTCCCAGAATTAGGCACCTATGTACGACTTTTAGAGGCCACCATGATCCACAAAACTCTCTCAGCTGCCTATGTTTTTTAGAGTAAGGCTATGTCAACACTACTGCCTATGTGAGCAAAACTTATGTCGCTCAGGGGTATAACTATTCCACCCCCCTGAGTGACAGAAGTTACACCGACATAAGTTTTCATGTGCACAGCGCTATGTCGGCGGGAGAAATTCTCCCACCAACATAGCTACCACCGCTCACCGGGGTCAGTTTTTTATGCTGACAGGAGAGCGCTACAGACCGTCGGAATAAAGCGTCTTCACTACATGCACTGCAGCGGCATAGCTGTATCGGTTCAAGTGCACCACTGCAGCGCTATACATGTAGACATGCCCTAAAAGTGCACTCTACACCTATGTTTCTGCCTCTGGCCATGTACCCTGCTGCCTCCCTCTAGGCTAGGGTTGCCAGCCCTCCAGGATTGTCCTGGAGTCTCCAGGAATTAAAGATTAATCTTTAAGTAAAGATTACATCATGTGATGAAACCTCCAGGAATACATCCAACCAAAATTGGCAACCCTACTCTAGGTACCCAGATGTCTATCTCTTACCCTAAGCCCCAGAGCAATCCACACCCAGGGGAAGATAGGCATTCATTCACCTAATTTGTGTGCTGGGCCTGATCCAGTAGGTGTGCTCAGAGGCTGCCACATAACTCCACACAAAACAACTGGGGGAAGGGAAGGTTTCTTATAAGCTTTAGCCCAGTGGTGAGGGTACTTACCTAGGAAGTGGGAAACCAAGGGCTCAAGTCCTCCCTCTGCCTGAGGAGGAGAAGGGTTTTGACCAGGGATCTGCCACCTCTCTAAGAGCCCTAACCACTGGGCTATGGGATACTCTGATGTGGAACTCCTTCACTCTCCTGTTGAAGTTGTTCCACTTTAAATACATCATTGATTAATTAATATTAATTGGGCTGGAGGAAAAGGGAGAATCACTGTGTATCCTAGGGGTTAGAGCACTCAGCGGTGAGGTGGCAGATCCCTTCTCCTCATCAGGCAGAGGGGGGTGGACTTGAACATGGGGTCTCCCATATCCCAGGTGAGTACCCTCACCACTGGGCTAAATGTTTCAAGGGAGCTGTCCCCCACCCCCACCCCCCAGCTGTTTTGTATGGAGTTGGGCAGCCTCTGACCACACCTACTGAATCAGGTTCTGCAAACAAGTTTGGCAGGGGAACACTTATCTTCCCCCAGTTCATGTATCACAAGCAGATATAGGCACCTCCCTGCAAGGGGTGGGCCTCAGGACATATCAACTATTCCATTGGCTCCCAGCCTAGGTTACTGGCTTTTGTGGATTGCATTCCTAGGCACCTGTGTCTCCCCATTCATCGTATAGGAAGCCTAAGCACCTGACTCAAGCCTTGTGGACTGCGGTGTTGTTCCTGTGATTATCTGGGTGCCTGAGACCCTTTGTGGATGTGGACCTAAGTGACTTCCACAACATCACACAGGAAATCTCTGGAAGGGCTGAGTTTGGAACCACAATAACCTGAGTCACAGGATAGGTCTTTAGCTACAAGATCATCCTTCCTCTCGTACATGGCCAACCTGCCTGGCACCCACACAGTTCCACATCTGCTACTGTTGCTATGAGCCAATAGCACACTGTGCTTCCCAAACACAGGGTTTTCCCCGTACCATAACTTTGTTTCAGTGACTTACTGGTCTTTCTCATGCCACCTCCAACACATATGCTATAGTGCTTTGGAGACAAGAGTCCATTCATTAGTTATCAGTAAGGTTAAGATTTTGTCAGTTACTTATAGTAAAAGTCAGGGACAGGTCACGGGCAATAAACAAAAATTCACAGAAGCCCGTGACCTGTCCCTGACTTTTAGTAAAAATAACTGTGATAAAATGGGGCTGAGCCCAAGCCCTACTGTGGAAGAAGAGCAGGAGTGTCCCCCTGCTGCCCAGGGCAGCTGACAGCTCCAGATTTCCCCACCACCTGCGGCAGCTGAGAGCTGCATGGGCGCCTGCAGTGGCTCGAGCTCCAGGTGGCCCCCCACCACCTATGGCTGTTTAGAGTTGTAAGGGGCCCTCCATTGCCTGCAGCGACTCAGAAATCTGGGGTTCCCCTGCTGCCCACAACAGCTAGGAGCTGCGGGGGTCCCTGCTGCCCATAGCAGCTCGGAGCTCTGGGGCCAGCAGCTGAGAGTTCTGGGTCCCCTCACTACCTGCGGCTGCTGAGATCCCCTCTGCTGTGGCTCAGAGCTCGGAGCTGCAGGGACCCCCTGCCACCCACAGCACTTGGGAGCTGCGGGTCCCCCATCTCTTAAATTAGCAGTCTGACATTGATTTTTTGTCCCCTAAAAATAAGGCCTGAATTTGTGTGGTATGAAACCTCATCCAGAATCCCTCAAAATTCAGCTCAAATAATGATCTAGAAAGCAATCTACCAGAACCTTTGAGCTCAGTTTGTGTTTATGGGCACAGATGAAATATGAAAATGCATGTGTGTTTGGCAGAAAGTCATTCTTTCTTTGCTGCTTCTTTGAACCAGCCACAGTCGGTTGGTGCTTCTCATATGAGCTAACAGATGGCTATGTTGCAGATGTAATATTTTCATTTTACATTTTTCCAAGTTCATGCTGTAAAATGATTTCTGGTAGCAGCATGAAACAATGTGTCTTTCATTTTCTCACTGTACGTGGAAACTACAGACCACAGTGTAAGAACTCCCAGGGGCACAGAGAAGGGGCAGGGATTCAAGGGTTATATCATAGACTGTTTTAAGATATAATTATGATGTTACCAATTTACAGGAAGCACAAGAGTTATAAAGGGGGTCAGTTGTAGGCTTTGTACGTGAGAATTTCACTTGGAGGACTGATGAACGCTAAAAGCACAGCCTGATTCCAGTCACCCTTTTATCTATATTAGTCTCTCTCTCCCCCTCTCTGCCTCCAAGGTTTTACTGAATATCATGGTACATCTTGTTGAGCACATCTGTTAGTATTCACTGCAGAAGAATTCTCAGGGGGTTAGCCTTTCTCAATGGACTTGCTTTCATAATTACTTATTTACTGAACTGTGCTGGTTTGTTCCCAGCATTAAAATGTATGTCCTCTGAGAACTTCCTCCACCTCAAAGGCACATACACTGATAAAGAGCGGAAATTTTGCTGCAACTCAAGAGTTGTTTTCACATTGCTCCTTTTTCCTGGGTCTACCCTGTTAAAAACAAAATGACTGCTGCACCGTGGATCCCCTTACAATGGCCATTAAAAAGCTCCCTGTTTCCAACACTTATAAGGTTTGATCTATATGCAGTTTTTGTATAACTATTTTGGATAGGGCTGTGATTATTTATTGAAACAAGCAACAGAGGGTCCTGTGGCACCTTTAAAACTAACAGAAGTATTGGGAGCATAAGCTTTCATGGGTAAGAACCTCACTTCTTCAGATGCAAGTTGTACTAGTATAACTGTTTATTGAAACAGTTATACTAGTACAACCTCTAGTGTGGACATATTTATATCTGTATAAAGGTGCCTTATACCAGTATAGCTTATTCTCCTTCCCTAATGGAAATAACCTATAAGTACCTTTTATACCAATATAACTGTGCCCACACATGGGGATGGGAAAGAGGGGTGTTGTGCCACTTTAACTATACCAGTATAGTTAGAGATCTGCAACTGTTGTGTATGGATAAAGCTAATACTGTTCAGATTGATAGGCAGCCATATACAAATGATGCCTGTAATATCATTACAGAGACACAAAATATTAGTTAATTTTGATTTGGGCACCTAACTCCCTGAGGTACCTTTGAAAATCCCAGCCTTAATTGTGCACTTAACTATCCACTACCAGGAACAAACAAAGGTTTTGTGGGTTTGTGAGAGAGCATTTCTTTTGGCTCCCATAGTTAAAAGTTGGCTCCCAGAGTATTTACCAAGTACTCCTACTGGAGAATTCAGAATTCTCACTAACATAAATTTCCATTTACAATTTAATTATAAATTATTTTAAAAAACAGCTCCTGAAATTAAACTACCCTAATAACTAGCCACCTTCTGTTCAAACCTAATGGAAGTTTTGGATGTACCAGATATGCAAAATCAGGCCCTTATGCATAATAGTTTTACTTATTAACATCTTGTAGCTATCAGGCCAATTCTGCTCTCAGTTGTTCTCAGTGAAGATCCTCTGGATTTACACCAGGGTAACTGAGACTAAATTTGACCTAACACACCTAAGCAGATACTTTAGACAAATTCTAACCCAGGCCAATTTGATTTTAAAGACCTTAAATATGATCCAAATAACTATGCTCTAACAAAGTATTTTTAATTCCCAGCTGCCACTTTTATGGAACACTGGAAGAGAAAACAGATGCGTCTCAACTATAGATGGGATTTGACTGGGTTTGAAGAAGAGGAGGTTAGTTTTTAAGTTGGTTTGGTTTGACTCCATTTCATGGTTTGGTTTTGTTACATTTTAACTTCAATAATTACACTGTAAATGGTGCCGTACTCTAAACTGTAAAGACTTTGCTTCATGGAATACTGCAAGATTTTTGCAGTAATTCCTGGTACAAAGGAAAATCCTGTATGTGAATGATTTCTGAGGGGTTTTTTTATTGTGGGTGTATTGCTAACACATCTTGTTACCATGGAAGCATAATTGTATATCTACAACACCCTCCCCCCCCCCCACACACACTTAAAAAAAAAAAAAGATGTTAGGTCATACCTAGTAATGCAGGCCCGGAATATATAGCTCATACATAATTCCCTGACTCAAGAAAGGATATTAAAAGCAGAGAGACTTACTCTCCTCTTAGCTACTCTGCTATAAGTCAGGAATGGGTCTGTCAAAGTTGATAATGTTTACACCATTGTAAAACCAGCATGAAGAATCAGGTTCTGAAAATGGCATAGTTGCTCCATTCAAGTCAATGGGAAAAGCTCCCATAAACTTTAATGGTGCAGGATCACGTTTTAATTAGGCAAATTTTGTGGAAAATACTGAAGGTACATTGGTATGGAGCATTGTATAAAAACACTAGGACACAAATTTGGAGGTTGTCTTTGCTGTGTGTACCAAAAGACATATTTGGGAGTGGTTCAAGGTAGGAAGATCCAAGCAAAAGAGTGCTAAATATTAAAATGTTTATGGAATAAAAGGAAAAGAGTCATTTTGAGGATCTGCATTTCAAAGCCCTTGATCCAAAGTCCATTGAAGGCAGTTGTAGTTTATCAGTGACTTCAATATATTTTGGATGAGACCCTAGCTGCACAATACATTTGAGCATCTTTGGCATACCCATAGAAGATAAGGAGGAAAGTTTAGATTTATTCCATCTCAGGTGTTTTGGGTTTTTTAGCAACAATATTTGGATTGCAAATTGGAATTGAAGGCAATGGGAGTTCTGAGTGGTAAATATTTTGGGCTTTATTCAGCCCAAAAAACCATTCAAAGACATCACTCAGCTGCAGCTGTTCCACAAACTTCCATGAGAGTTGGACTGGGCCCTATATCTTTGTAAAGTTAATTTCTTGGGAGTTATGCCTGTAGTTCTTTTATTAGAAACATGGCTGCCTGTGCAATCTAGACATAGTGATTATATTCACAATAAATACTATTCAATTATGGGAATGTATTTTAGGAGACCTTTTATTAAACAATGTGTCATGCTACGTGATGGGCCTGATATTGTAATTCTACAAAAGCTTTTTTATTTTTAATTGACTTCTCAGAAGAAAGTTTGGTTTCTAGGGCCCCAGTCCTGGTAAGTGCTCCATGCAGGCATATCCTGAGCCAGAGCACACTGCAGGATTGGGACCTGCTATTTTATTGGATGACAACATGAGGATTTTTTTTTCTAGCTATCGTAAGACGACTGTCCTTTTATTTTTGGTATCTTTAATTGTTAGCAAACATGAAAATGGAAAGGATTAACTGTATCTTTCCAACCGCTAACTCCTTCGTGAGTGTGTTCAGAGTTCTCTGCAGTAAAAACAATGTCTGACCAGAGACCGCAGCTGTTAATAAAGTATATTTTACTCTTCACTTAATATGGTCTCTGCTAGCTAATACAGCCCCTTGTTTAGCAGCACATTTACGCTCCTAACTTTCCATTGACTTCAGTGGGACTTAAGCAGATGCTTAAATGCTTGCTGAATCAGGATCTCAGATGGCATCCTAAAATACTAAAATATTTAATCTTCTGTTGGGTACATTTATTCAGTAAACTCTTTCATGCAGTAATGTTAGTATATCTTCAATATGAAAACAAGAGCAGACTGATTTTTTTCCTGGTTGTGTCTATCAATGCACTCTATCTATCATGTTGTTCCATGTGATAAAAAAAAAATTCAGTGCAATTTGCAACAGTTCAGTAATCATCTTTTTTGTTTGTTTTTTGTGTTTTGTTTTTTTCTTTTCTGGTTTCCTGAAGGAGGCAGTCAAGGTTTGGAATTTTTTTAATTGCTCTACCTTTTTTATTACCTGTCTATTAGTGAAAGGTATCTTTTCATTTCACCCACTTCTTTTTTTCCAGCATCTAATTTCCTTAAAGCTCCCACTACAGTGATTCTTCCTTTCTTTTCTTTTTTCCAGTGGTTGGACTTTTTTTCCCAAATCCATTCTATTTTTCCATCCAGTGCATTCTTGTGGGTACTTTTGGAATCCTTCAGCTGTCTTGTTCCTTCTATTTCGGGTTATTTTCCTACATCTCCTCTTTTTCATTGTATGTGGCTAGTCTAATATGCAGTGTCTGTTGCATTGCAGAGATGTACCTTTCTAGGGATGTTGCTGTAGGTATGAATACATTTGGTATCCAAACTTGGCCCATCTGAAGGCCTCATTGGCAACTTGCCAGTACCCCAAGAGCTGCACATATTTTACCTAAATTATAGCAGATAACAGCTACCCTTCATGAAGCATGGTTCATAGAGATTATAGTTTGTAGAATGCAATGTTTCATCTTGATCCAAATGGCAATGTCTCATATCAAGATGGAACATCACATGTTGTGATCTGTAGTGTCTGCAAGCTGCGCTATAAATCACAATGACCCAAGCTTGATCTGCTCAGGGTTATACTTGATATATTCTGTAGAGCTTTTTTCTGTTTCCTAAACATTTATTCCATGGAATAGAATTTAGAACGATATAGTACTTCAAAGATTTTAGCTACAACATGCTATCAACTTTACATTAGTGAGCTGTATAGTAAATTAGAATTCAGTATGAGAAACGGGAAATTAGTAGGAACTGGACTTATCATTTGTTCATATATAGATGAACTAGGAAATAGATATAATTTCTTTACTATTAAATGTGACTTCTTTCACAGGCTCATCCCAGAGCAGAATATGAAGCTAAAGTATTAGAAAAATCACTGAGGAAAGAATACATACATAAAAAGGTATGCTAAAAATATTTATGTATTTAACCACGTAAACTTCTTTGGTGAATAAATCCATTTACAGATGACTTGACCAAGATTTTGGAAACAAAAATAAACATAAAGACACTGTTGTATATCACGTGTAAGCTTCCAAACATTTCTTTAACAATTAATTGCATTTACAGTGGCACATACGTTTCATATATATATATATATAAAGCTTGTACAAATATAGAAATGACTTCAGTGTTTGGGTATAAGATGTATTTTAATAGAATTCTTCAACTATCATTTGAATTCTTATTAGGCTATGGATAAAGTTTGAGAAATCTGTAACTGAACAGTAAACTGTATCTTGCAGTATTATAAGTAACTAGAACTTCTCAGGAGAGATTCTCATGCCTTCCTAGCATCCATCATCATAACATGCTAATCATTTGGGCCAAACCTTGAGGTCCTTTACTTATTCCAATTAAAGTCTGGCTGAATAAGAACTGAGCAAAAACAGAATGCTGATTCATATCCTACTGCAGATTTTCCCACAGGAGAGGTATCTTCAAGAGGAAAACTCAGTAAGCATCTCTGATGGATTTTCCTCCCTTCTTTTCCATTGGGAAATTAAGATTTGCTTTCTCCTTCTTTGTGGCATATGTATCCATTGGAATGGACTGTTCACAAATTTAAAAATGCCTCTAAAAGACACATGTTCAGCCACTGGATTGGAATCTGGCTTTCTGCACTTAGGTCTTGATGTTTGTGGCTTTTAAAAATCCTATTGCATTTAATAAAATAAAATGGTTACTAAAATAATTAATAATAATACTAACCCCAATTTCCTGGCTGAATTCCAGGTTGGGCAATAACCTTCTGCATTTCTAAATATAATCCTCTTGCCATCTCAGCTGTGTAAGGTATCTTTCACTTCTGGTCCCAACTTCTTTTGTTGTGGTTAAACAGTTGCTACATGTCACCCCAGAGGTGGCTGCATTTCAGCGGTGCATGAAGTGATACCTGTGAGTAGCTTGTACAGCATAGCAGACGTTTGGATTGTAAGACACTTTGGGATCCTTCAAGATAGAAGGTATTATGTAAATGCAAGCTATTAGTATAGCCAGTTACCATATGACAATTAGGTTACTTAATGATGGACACCTTAAATAGACTGGACAGGAATTATTTTAAAATTTGTCTGTTTTGGTTTTCTTACACGCTTACATTTATGTATAGTTTGGCCATTCTTAAACAATGGCATCAGCTGGTTCTGATACATTTTAGTTAGACTATTTCAGAAAATGTTCACGCTTAACCTCTTTAATATTAAAAGGTTTTAATTTTGGTGTGGAATACCTTACATTCAGCATTACTTTAAAAAAAAAAAAGCTTTTTGTGATGAAGAAAGAAGATCTGAATACATTGTTTTTATTTTCCCAGCAAAAGTGGAGGGCTTTCTACTTTTTTTTTTAAATACTTTAGAAATACACGTCTCACTCCTGTAAATTTCAGCCTAAAGTGCCAGTGTATTAAAGCTCACAATAAACATCCCTTCCGAGACCTCTTGGAAGCCAGTCAAACCATGAAAAAACAGACCTGAAATTCCTGATGTTTCTCAGACCAAACCTCAAAAAGAATAAAAACTTTCAGAAGAGAAGTCTTTCAGGCTTTCTTGTACATCATGAAGAAGAAGAAAAGGGCATGAGCCTAATATTTTGTAAATTCTTTGTAGGTCACCTTTAAAAGTGGGATTTCTTCCAGACAGTGGGTTGTTGGTTTTTTGTTTTTGTTTTTTAAATAAACCTGAAGCTGGAACCCAAAACATTGAGCAAACTAATGGAGTACTTGTTGCTAAATTGCACTGTGTACTTACTCAGCAGAGTGTGTGGATTAATTTGGCATTGTTAGTCAATGCTTTGTAACGTTGTATCGCATGGTCCTTTTTTGTTTCCTTTGATTGCCATCAGAAGCGTCGACATTTGCCAGAAGAGACAGGAAACAAATGGAGACAGAGAGTTAAGACAGTCATGGCTGGGGTGAAATTGGTACATTTCATTCAAATTTATGGAGAAACTCAAACTATGAGTAATTATGGAAGACACAAATTGATTGATTGTTTTTCTCAACAACCTTTGGTTGTTGAACCTTTGTTTAATATTCACGTTCAGTTGTTATTTTCTCCTCTCTTCAGCACCCAGATAAACACTGTGTTTACGTGTAGTGGGGATGGCACTGCATGGCTAATCTTTGGGTTACCATATTGAATGGATGTTGCATTTTTGTAATGAAGCATGTGCCACATGTTTGACAGAGTTGCCTGCTGTTCTATCAGACAACATGCATGTAACTTTGAATGAGATTGTTGTTCAGTACAATGTAGTGTCATCTTCTTTAATGTTACTTTCCTTTGACATTTTCTTTCTGCCTTTAAGAAATCACTCTCATTCTGCAAATTTTACAAATGAAATCAGATCAGAGATGACTTTCTAAATGAGACTGTCATTCCCAGATAGATTGTGTGATCAAAATTAATAGAGTGATCAAATATAGTAAGTGTGATCCTGCAGAGATTTTGCATGTGAGTAACTTAACTCATGAGTAGTCGCACTGGCATCAATTTTATTCATGTGTGTAAAAGTTACTCATAGTCAGGTGTTCACAGGGTTAGATCCTTAGCAAAGCAAAATCAACCCTGGCAACATTGCACTAAGGGCCCAATCCTGAACAGCCTCCCCCATGTGAGCAATCTATATTGCAGTGGGACAACCTATAGGATTAAGTATTACTCATGTGAGTAAGGCTTGCAGGGACAGTCCTAATGGTGCTTTATTGAAAACATATTCTAACAAAAAAAAGTTTACATCTTTTCTGGGAAAGGAAAATGAAATATTTTACACTAGAAGAAATCTAATTTCACAGCCTAATAGTTTACTTAAGTGTGTTTCTCAAAAAAGCTGTTCAGACTCATTTATACAATGCAGAGCTTAGCACCAAATTGAAGCTGTAAGACGTTTACCTGTATAAAATTGTATCTTTAAACACTGTATCCTTCCACCTTCTAACTGGTTGCGTGTTTGACCGTTTTCCTGTGCCTTGTTGTTTTTGTTACAAGAACAAATAGAAGGGATCTTTTTAGATACTGTATTAAATTACAGGGTGTTGGTTTTTTTTTCATATTTTAGACTGATAAAGAGAAACTGACATGGAAAGATCGTTTTCCAGCATATTTTACCAATTTTGTTGGCATTATCTTCATGGTAAGTATTTCCTGGAAAATATTTAAGATTCACCTTACTGAGTGATTGTGAAATCTGCCTTTTACAATGGGCACCTTTTTGTCTAGGAGAAAAAAACTATTCAATCACTTTAAAATTTAAATCATTTGAAAATCACTTTGCTCAGGTGGTACTTGACTTTTGTTTTGCTTGTATGTCTTTCTTTCATAGTGTCTTTAATGAGGACTGGGAAACAAAGATCTATTTCAGAGAGTTTGTCAGTCATGGGTTCTTTTGGATTACAGGTTCCAAATTAAGTATGTCTTCTCTTACATCTGAGTCAGAGCAGTTGAAGTTCACCAGTCACATGACAACACAGGGTCTGTAACTCAGAAGATGGACAGAAATTGCTCTAGTTATTTAGATTTGTCCCTTCTCATGGTAATACCTGCAGGAGGGGTGGCTGGGGATCCCCATTCCAGAGTTCTTAACTAATTGTTCTGTGGAATTGTCTCCATGGAATAAATCCTGGGGTCTCCAAATCTGGATACTCTAAGGGGGGCCAGGGGCATTCAAATGGAGACCATGTGCTTCCATGCCAGTTCTGATCCTTGGTGGCTAACAACCCCTCAGCTCCTTAGCAGCACAGCTCCAGTACAGCCTCATTATCAGGGATTCCCTCTGGCCTTATCTGTCTTGCACCTTAGTGTGTCTGTATGAGCAAGAGAAAAGAGAGACTCTCAATGGAAAAGATAATATAGGCCCTAGGCTATATTATTTCTTTCTGGGAATCTCTGTGAGGATGAGGAAGGACAAAATTGTCCAAGGCCGTAGTCTATCTTGGTCTATCTAGTTGCTGCCCCCTATTCCAGTGTGTAGACCCATGGAATGGCCTCTGAGGGGGCAGAAGTGCTGCACAGGTAGCTGACTCCCCACTTCTGCATTGGAGGTAAAGCAAAGAACTCATGGAAATGTTTGATTCTGGGAACGATGATCTTGGGTTACATGTAGAATAGCCCATAGTTTGGTGTTTTAATTCTTTATTCTGAACGGGTGGGCCTTCACCATTTAGGATCAGAGGACAGAAATATGTCCTCTTAAGGCCCAATCCTGAGAGGTTCGGAGTGCCTCCTGTGATTTCAGTGGGAGCTAATCACTTCTCAGGAAAGTGCTCAGTATCTTACAGGATCATGTTCTTAATATACTCTTCCATTTAAGCAGTGTAGCAATTTAAGCAGGGCTTTTTTCCCAAATCTTTCAGGAGTCAGCGATATTTTTCTGTGTTTTGTTGTACTCTTGAAATAATATGTAGCTGATCTGCAGCACCGTTACTTTTAGTTTAATCTTTGAACTCTCACAAAATTGGAGGTCTCAGAGGGACATTCAGAAGTTTAGACACAAAGAAAAGCTAAGCCATATCTCTCTCAGAAATATTCTCCTCTTCATATCTACTGGCCACGTTCATTCCTGGATTTTCCTTTACAATAAGCCACTTAACACATATCCATTAATGTTATGAGCATCAATTAAAAGTGAAGTGCATCAATATTAATATAAACTATACCTCTAGCATTTGCATTTAGATTCCTTTTTATTAATTGCTAACACCATAATATGAAATTACTGTTATGATCAAAGTGCTAGGAACAGAGGATCTGTGCCAGAGCCAATTGAAGTTAATAAGAGTCCTTTCAGTGATATCAGTGGGATTGGGATCAGGCCCAGGGAGTACATGGGAGGCATTTCAGAGTTAAATCTGCTTGCTGATGAATGACAGTGGGGTGTTTTATAACAGATAATGCCATCTTTTATTCCCAGATTGGACTGACATTTGCTATCGTGTTTGGAGTCATTATATACAGAATCTCCACTGCAGCAGCCTTAGCCCTCAGCTCAACTCCCTCTGGCCGGTCTAGTGTTAGAGTAACAGTCACTGCAACTGCAGTTATTATTAATCTGGTGGTGATCATCATTCTGGATGAAGTATATGGTTGCATAGCCAGGTGGCTAACTCAGATTGGTAGGTATAAATCATTGTCAGTTCTATTAGATTAGTTATTTCGTAAAGTACAAAAACTACTTATTTACATAGCATCATTTTCTAACTTCAGACAGATGAGCAAAAAAAAGGAAATTCAACCATAAGGCTGCAATTCTATCTCCTTAGCTTAAAGAAAAAACATCAAAGGGCACATGAAATTGGTTTTATTTTTAGCTGCTTTTTCTCTTTGCTGCTATTGCTCCAATTATGAGTGGGCAAAGTGCTTCCGGATAAATTAAAACTTTTGTGCCCAGTCATAACTTATTTTGGGGATGCAACTTATTTTGGGTCTTTCTAAGGTTTGGTAATGTACAGATCCGTTTTCCATGTCTTTATATTTTCTGTGCTAAATAAATAATGATTGGAAGTGAAAAAGAAAAAGTAAGTGCCAAAACACTGTGGAACCAATTTTCTTGTGCTATTTTCAGACAGGACCAGAAGCAGAAGGGCCAGAAATTTTATCCAATCTCATGTTTTATGCTAGATCCATACTAATTTTACAGACACAAGTAGTTTGGATATTGTCATTGCAAGTGAGATTCAGGGGAGTTCCAGACACAGAGTTGTCAAATTGGGCCTGTTGTTTGAGAAATACTGTAAAGTAGGTCCCCAAATTACCTTTCTTTTTTCTCTAACCAATTTTCTTATCTTCCCCTGCCATAGCTGTTTGTTTAAATGTGCAGTTCTGCCATCAATACATGCAAGCAGCTCCCATGGACTTGAGGACAGCCCTTCTGTTTTGTTATGCTCTTTTGTTGTTGTTGTTTAAAAACCTCACATATATTAATTAGATCAGAATAAGTTATCTATGTGGCTTGTTTCTTTTCCCATTGGTCATTGCCTTCAGTGTGATCAGGTTTCTCCACCTCAATTTAAATATGTTCATATTTCCTTAAGGGGATAGTTGTTTGGATTACATTAGGGAGTTTTCCAAAGTCCCAACTTCATAGACCCTTAACACTTTCCAGTCCAGAAGTTTCCTTTATGTGTGTCTTGTTTACTTCAGAGGTCCCAAAAACAGACAAGAGTTTTGAAGAGCGGCTGATCTTCAAGGCCTTCCTTCTGAAATTTGTCAATGCCTACACTCCCATTTTCTACGTTGCTTTCTTCAAAGGCCGGTGAGTAACCTAGACATGTAGTTTAAAATTTCAGCAGTTACTTTGAGATTATTTTTGTAGGGCCATGTTCTGGTTGAGTCTTGGTGTGCAGCTAGTACTGGGAGTCTTACATACATCTAAAGATAGTGTGTGATCCATAGAATTTCTCTCTCTCTCTCTCTCTCAATGTTGTCCCCTTGCTTGACTTCCCACTTCTCTTTCTCATCTCCCCATGTTGTCTCATTTTAACTAACGTTTGTTTATTTTTCTTTTTTAGATGTACTTTTAAAATAAGTTTGCAGATATGTGTCTGTAATACTTAGGATATACCCAGAAAACTTAGTAAAAACTTTATAATTTAACTAATTCACCAATTAAATTTAAAAAAAAGTAAAATATTCCAAACACAAGTACCTAAAATTGTCCTTTTTGAACTTTACTATGTGATGACAAATTATTAATTGATCCTAAATTCCTTGTGCATGTGTAACTCTCATTCAAAGCATTAGCTATTTTACATGAAGGACTGAAGGATCAGATGTATAAAAAAGGTAGAACATAATTCCAACCATTGTTTCCAAACTATCCTAGATTTGTTGGACGTCCAGGAGACTATGTCTACATTTTTCATTCTTTCCGAATGGAAGAGGTAATCGCTATTCATCATTGATCAAGAAAATAACAGTGAATTCACGATCAAATTATTTGGCAAAAATGCTGACTTAATCTCTTTTCTTGGCTTTAGTGTGCCCCTGGTGGTTGCTTAATGGAATTGTGTATCCAGCTTAGTATTATCATGTTGGGCAAACAGCTGATTCAGAATAATCTCTTTGAGATTGGTATCCCGTAAGTAATATAGTTACCTTCATTTTATACCATACGTAAAGTACACTGCATAACAACCTTTTATGATGCAAACATCTGGCTTCTTTTGGTTTATAGTCCTCATGCAAGAAATCTTTACAGCAAGACTATGCCTGCAATATAGCTGTGCCTTTGTACCCTATCGCATTTTCAAACTCCTCGTGTATTTTTGTAACATGCAGACTTCTTTGAAAAGTGTTAAAGACTATTGATTTTATACTCTTTACAGCTGGGTTTGATGTTCAGTATTTGGTTCAGTTGTTACCAGATTTGAATATCAGTGAGTGCTGATCCCTAATTGCTTGTCTTTACCTTTGGCTTTTACACAGTTTTTGTACAGATTATGAAAACTGATGACATAAGGCTTTTTTGTGTCTATTGTGTGAATTTAACTGTCATTCCTGAAGCATCCAAACGGGGTGGGAGGAGAACCTGCTAAGCTGATCATTTTTGTTTCTTCCAGAAAAATGAAGAAATTAATAAGATACATCAAATTAAAGCGACGACGCTCTTTAGATCATGAGGAGCATATGAAAAAAAAACAACGCTATGAAGTGGACTATAACTTGGAGCCTTTTGCTGGGCTTACTCCAGAATACATGGAAATGAGTGAGTGAATTAAATTTAAACTGTCATGACTATAACTGTGGAGATGGTGAGTTGAGTTCTTTGAACTAGCAGATATGATTCATGTTACACTACTTTATAAAAGTGTCCTCCCTGGCAGTAACCGAAACCCTGCTGGCTGCTACGGGTGACTAACTGGTTCATGTGGTATGGCATAATGGCCTGTGTGTATGTATACTACTGTCCTAGAGTGGCTAACCTAGAGAAGATAAAAGAGCCCTATAACAGCTCAAGTGGAAAAGGACTGGCTTCTACCTCCCATACCATAGGTTTGTGTCCATGGTTCCGGATACCTCGATACAGTACTGAAATACCAGATGTTATCTGTTTATCTTTGTTACAGTTTAACACACAGTTTGAAATACACTATATTTATAACACCATGTACATTTGGCTCCAAGAGACAAATTTTGCTCTCAGTTGCACCCCTGTACACCAGCGATAATTCCACTGAAGTTAGTAGAGTTAATTCTGGTTTAAGAGAGCACAAAATTTGGCCCTGTTACCTGAATTCTGGGCTGAATCCTCACAGATCACACACAAATTGTTATTAGTAATTAGGGCTGTCGATTAATCGCAGTTAACTCACGCGATTAACTCAATTGCACTGTTAAATAATAGAATACCAATTGAAATGTATTAAATATTGTGGATATTTTTCTACATTTTTATATATATTGTATTCTGTGTTGTAATTGAAATCAAAGTGTATATTTTTGCTTACAAATATTTGCACTGTAAAAATGATAAACAAAAGAAATAGTATTTTTCAGTTCACCTCATACAAATACGATAGTGCAGTCTCTTTGTCATGAAAGTGCAACTTACAAATGGAGATATTTTTTGTTACATGACTGCACTTAAAAACAAAACAATGTAAAACTTCAGATCCTACAAGTCCATTCAGTCTTACTTCCTGTTCAGCCAATCGCTAAGACAAACAAGTTTGTTTACATTTCATGGAGATAATGCTGTCCTCTTCTTATTTACAGTCACCAGAAAGCGAGAACAGGCATTTGCATGGCACTTTTGTATTTGGCATTTCAAGGTATTTATGTGTCAGATCTGCTAAACATTTGTATGCCCTTTCAAGCTTCGGGCACCATTCCAGAGGACATACTTCCATACTGATGATGCTCATTAAAAAAATGAGCGTTAATTAAATTTCTCACTGAGCACCTTGGGGGAGAATTGTATGTCACATGCTCTGTTTTACCCACATGCTGGCATATATTTCATGTTTATAGGAATCTCGGATGATGACCCAGCACATGTTGTTCATTTTAAGTACACTTTCACTGCAGATTTCACAAAACACAAAGAAGGTACCAATGTGAGATTTCTAAAGATAGCTACAGCATTTGACCCAACGTTTAAGAATCTGAAGGCCTTTCAAAATCTGAGAGGGACAAGGTGTGGAGCATGCTTTCAGAAGTCTTAAAAGAGCAACACTCCAATGCGGAAACTACAGAACCCGAACCACCAAAAAAGAAAATCAACCTTCTGCTAGTGGCATCTGACTCAGATAATAAAAATGAACATGCGTCGGTCTGCACTGCTTTAGATCATTATCGAGCAGAATCCGTCATCAGCATGGACGCATGTCTTCTGGAATGGTGGTTGAAGCATGAAGGGACATGTGAATCTTTGTGCATCTGGCACGTAAATCTCTTGCGACACCGGCTATAACAGTGCCATGAGAACACCTGTTCTCACTTTCAGGTGACATTGTAAACAAGAAGCGGGCAGCATTATCTCCTGCAAATGTAAACAAACTTGATTGGCTAAACAAGAAGTAGGACTGAATGGACCTGCAGGCTCTAAAATTTTACATTGTTTTATTTTTGAATGCAAGTTTTACTGTACATAATTCTACATTTGTAAGTTCAACTTTCATGATAAAGTGATTGTACTATAGTACTTGTATTAGATGAATTGAAAAATACTATTTCTTTTTGTTTTTTTTACAGTACAAATACTTGTAATCAAAAATACATTTTAAGTGAGCACCGTACACTTTGTATTCTGTGTTGTAATTGAAATCAGTATATTTGAAAATGTAGAAAACATCCAAAAATATTTAAATAAATGGCATTCTATTATTAACAGTGTGATTAATCATGATTAATTTTTGTAATCGCTTGACAGCCCTATTAGTAATTGATTAATTAGTACTTAATTTAAGCATAGAGTGTCAGCTTATTGCTGTTGACGAAGCAGTGGAAAGGTGGCTGTAATCCACCTTTCCATTCCCCTCATCCTGGAGGATGCGGAGGACTGCTCTGTGTTATGCTGGTTGCTGCAGTCTCATAAGGACCATTCCAGGATTGATTGAAGTGTGGTGCATTCCAGCCCCACTCCCAGCATGACTCCTCCCTGCCTCTGACATGCTTCCTATTCAGATGGGGAGCAGGTGGCCTAAACCTGGCTAAACCATCTTTGCACCACTCAGGGGATTTAATTATGTCAAAAGAATTCCCAACTGCCCCTTTAGGGCATCTTCGTGGTTGGTTTGTGCTGCCTGACCAGCACAAAGTATCAGAACAGGGACTTATGACTCTTTATGCTTGGACGAAGCACCAATTAATCAACTACATATTGAAATTTGTGAGAGGTATAACTCGCAAGTGTCTCTCCGTGGTTAGGGTTTGTAGAAACATTTAGGGGGAAAGCATTAATTTGTTGTAACACACCAAAGCACAGTTCATAAATACAGAGCACTCTCAGTGACACAGTTTTTCTCTTTTCAGTTATCCAGTTTGGCTTTGTAACCTTGTTTGTTGCATCCTTCCCGCTGGCTCCTTTGTTTGCGTTGTTGAACAACATCATTGAAATACGTCTAGATGCAAAGAAATTTGTCACTGAGCTTAGAAGACCAGTTGCAGTCAGAGCAAAAGATATAGGTAAGTAAAATATCTCATGACTAGCCTATTTGGTAATGTTGTTCCTTTTTTATTTATTGATTGATGGCAGGAATTTTTTTATGCTGAGTTGGCTTAATTAACAGGAAGATCTTTATAGTACAATTGAAAACATTAGAGTGTAACTTAGCTGTGAATTGTCATAACTTATCAAAGCTTTACGTTTAAAATATTAAGAGCAGTGTTTTAAATTCAGATTAATATTTTATTAAGTAAGCATAAAACATCTGAGGATCAGTAATGATCAATAAAACAGTGAGATACAGTGCATGGTTTTCCCCATCAATAGTTCTTCCTGGCCATGCAAGTTTTATTGCGGAAACAAAAGCTTCTGCATTTAAAAACGCCAGTTCCTCAGCTGGGCAGGGGAGATGCATAGGGGCAAAGGGGAGACTGAGTGACTGCTGAAACATGGGGGAGTTATTTCAGCTGCTTGCTTCCTGTCCAGTATGAATTCTGGGACATTGGAGGCTAGACACAGCAGTGGACCTGGCTGAAACCAGGTCCTACAGTTGCATAGAAGCATAATACCAGATCTGCTACCTGAGGGATCTCTTGATGACAGAGAAGATGAGAGATGGATTTGCCTCTGCAAGCTGTTTTCCCTCATTACCAGTTAATTGGATACTGGAAATTCACAAATAGAAAACTCAATGAAAAGAATTATTCAAGTTATAGCGTAAGTCAATATGAGCAAAGAAAATCTACTGTTAATTACCATACAATGTGTTCCCCAGTTCTGGGGCATTTCTAAATGCTCTCCATTGTGCCTAGGTATTGAAGGATACATGAGGGATTGTCTCTGTGGTCTTTTCCCTTCTTTTTGTCAAGTTTTGCCATCACCAGCACATCCTTTTTTCTGTAGTTCCCTGGCTTCTTCAGCAACTGCTGTGTTTTTGAAATGCTATTGAGAGCTTTTAGGAGAATTTCAGATTAATTGAGTTTCTGCCAAGGTTCCACAAGGCCAAAATATCACCTTGTCATGAAGAAAACCACACAAGGCTTGAGACAGGAATCAACCAAAAGAAAGGAGGAGCATGCATAATGAGAGGGGATGTTCTAGCCAATAGAAATCCTTTGCAATCATTGGCAGTGACCAGGGGCCTGCTCCTGCTCCCCACAATGAGCTCTTCACCAAGCACAACTTGTACACAGCCCAAGATTGGCCTTTAAACAGGAGCAGGAGAAGGCCCTACATATGATTCTGTTACAACTCTGTTGGAAAAACAGATGCATTTGTCTACTACCCTAGTTTTTCCTCAAACATGAATTAAGTCACTGTTGCTAAATAGAATATACTAACAATGACCAGATTCAGAAGAAATGATGAGAAAGGTGGAGTTTACCATATGCTTATTCATAGGTGCTAGAACTAGGAATGCTGGGGGTGCTGCCGCACCGTTTGATTTTGAAGTGGTTTCCATTATATACATGATTCACAGTTTGATTCAATATCTCTCAGCACCCCCACTATACAATTTGTTCCAGCGCCCCTGTACTTATTAGTTGCTCAGGGTTTATCTTAATTGCATAGGATTTTCTAGGTTACAAGGTGCTAGTCCCTGGAAACTTTATGTATAGTAAACATCCTCTTGAGTGTCTAAGGGCTACAGAAGCTCAAGTCCCAGCTGGGGTGCAGTTTTGTCATGAACTGTGGCCTTATACATCCAGATACCAGAGTCATTGGCACAGATCAAACCTGGGACATTCATTACCAAAAGCACAGGCCCCTAGTACTTGAGCTAAAGGAGAACTCTTTTAACTGTGATTAGTAACCAGAAGGTTGTTCCAATCCTGGGGGACAGTCGCTGGTAGGGTGCGTTATCACATACACAAAGTCAGTGTGTTATACCAAGACACCACAGAATATAAGGAGAGACTGGGCAGTGGGACTGGGTGATCTTTGTGCATTGTCCTTCCACCACACCCCCAAGGATGATACTAAGTTAACATGCTGTCAGTATATCTTTTGAATGCACAGCCTCCATACTGCAGAAACCATGCTCAGAGGTTCCCAGATACAGTGAAGTGGGCAGCAAGGAGAAACCTTACCAGAGTGGCTCCATTGGAACCATGCTGCTGGTGAGGAGGGCAGAGGCAATGCAAAGAAATAAGGCATCCATGTGGAAAGCCCTGGTTTATGACAGATCCCTTAAGATTGGTACTCTCAACAGAGCAATATATTCTGCAAAGGGATCTTCTGTGGAGATTCTAGTTCCCCATGTGTCATTTTTTCCTCCTTCCTACTGAAAATTATTTGGGCCCATTTGATCAAACGTCATGTGTCTAAATATGGATGTACGGAGTTTCAGTTAACAATGATAAGCTTAACAATCTGAAAGCATTTACCATGTTTGTCTTTCCCGTAGGAATCTGGTATAATATCCTCAGAGGTGTAGGAAAACTTGCTGTAATAATAAATGTAAGTAATTCTTTATCAGTAAAATTTGAATGCAATGGGCCTGATTCTCCACTCCATTACACTGGTTTTCTTCTAACTAATCTCCAATGAAATCAGTGGAGTCACATGATTTAAAGCAAGCTAATGGACTAGAGAATCAGGTCCAGGGTTTAGTTTTACATTGTCACAGTGTATCATATATTATTTATGCCTTATAAAAACTTGCACAATTTAAAGGTTCAGCACTAAACGCTAATTTGCAATAAAAGCCATAGTAAACATAATCAGTGGTAGTCTTGGCATCTTTTTCCAGACTATTTTTACTGCATCTGCTGACCTTAAACTAGCCTTGCTTCCTAGTAGTCTAGATATTTTGCAAGTATCTTTCCTTGACCACATTTTTAAACAAACGCTAATTAAAAAAACCTGTCACCCCTCTACACTTATTGGGCCAGATCTGCAGCTGGTGTATGTCAGTTTAGCTTGACTGCATTCACTTTACACCACCTGCGGATCTGGCTCTTAATGATGTGTTCCTATTAGGAAGATGTGATATGATCCATGTCTTTAGGACTTTGTGTAGCTACAGAAATTAATAAGAATGTTTTCATTCACTTCAATGAATGCCGACTAGGCCCTTAGGAAAACATGCAAGACTACTTCAATGTGTCATACAATAAGACTGCTTTGGATCATTTGAGTCTTCAGAAAACTTTTAGACTGGGGTTAAAACAGTAGACTAGCTCTAACTTTTTCGTTTACATTTACACATTTTTCTGTGTTTGTATGTGTGTATGTATATATTACATGTCTTACATAAACAAACACTATTTCATCTCACAGTCCCTTTACACCCAACAAAAGTTAGATCTGTGTCAAAGTTACAAACAAGGTGAAAAGAGGGTCTAGAAACAACGAGAGAGGAGACAATGCTGGATATGTGGCTCATCTTGAATACTGTGCATCTGTGGAGTCTCTGGTTTTCTCCCAGCCTTAAGTTCTAAGGATGTGATTTCCCCTTACATTATCTTATAAATAGATCTGGATGAAATCTTTCAACGAAAACTTTTTTCAGGAAACACATTGTGCAAATTTGTATAGATTTTGTTGAATTGCTTTGTTCCAAAAATAATAATAATAATAATAATAATAATAACAACAACAACAACCTACAAAAAATTCTGAAAAAGTAAAAATGTTTCATTTCAAATGAAACATTTTGATTCAAAATGACTTTATTTTGAAATTACCTTGAATTTCATTTTGTACAAATTAAAAAAGAGAGGCTCAAAATCAAAATGAAGCCTTTTGTTTTGAGTAGAACAAAACATTTTGTGTGACCCAAAATGATTTTTTTTTTAAACTTTTCTATTCACTAAAAGTTTTGAAAATTTCCATTTTCAGGTCAACCCAAAACTATTATTTTCTTGCATTTTTAGACTTGACAGACTAAACAAATCTATTATTTGCACAGCTCTACTTTTAAGCTCCCTCTCTAGCTACTAGACAGTTGTCACTGTGGAGTCTTCTTCTAACTGGAAGGAGAAGATGAGAGGCCACTCAGAGGCCTGTGCCACTCTTGAAGTGGTCTTCAGGATAGCAAAGAGCATATAGCCCATCACCATCCCTCTAAGCAGGTTAGCTCCACCATGCACCTCAGTAGCTTGGGAAGTGATTTCTCCACTGAAGACTGATCCAAAACCCATTGAAATCAATAGAAAGACTTCCACTGACTTCAGAGAACTTTGGATCAAGCCCTTATTTCCAAGCAGGGAAGTTTCACAGAGGCAGCACCCAGAATTGCTGGCAGAGCTAGTTCCCAATCAGTCTTCTATTTTGGTGTGCTGCCTTTAATTTCCCCTTTCTCATCTTTCCTGCTTCTCCTCTTTTTCCTTAGAAAATTCTTCCTATTCTCCCACATTCCTCCCTGCAATCTCTCTTCAGGCATTACACACTGCTGTTCTCCTTACTTTAACCTATCTACTCTCTGTTTTCTATCATAGCATAAGTAAAACTTTTTGTACTGCACATACATGAGCTGCATGCAAATTACAATCTCTTTCATGATAGCGATAAATGAGAAAAGCCAAAGGTATTGAGAACACAACTAAATTGGCTGCCCTTGTATTCTGCTTATTTATAAAACCTGAGGAGAATAAGAAATTTTAGTGACTGTAAAAAGGCCATCTGGCCCAACATGCTTGCTGTTTTATCTTGATCTAGTTAAAAACCTCCATTAAAATTAACAGATTTTTGCAAAGCAGAGGGCATTTAAAGAGTTGATTCACCATAAGTTATTTGCAGCACATAAAAGTACATCCAGAGCAATCAATCAGAGCTTATACAATCCATCTGGGACCAGTTGTAATTGGAGCAGAGGGAAACAGCATGGTGTTTTGCTTTTTAGCAATGTTGCACAAGTTATTTTGTACAGTCATAGATGTAATATAATTAATACACAACAGAAAAGCACAGTAAAATCTAAGACGCCTTTAAGGTTGGAAACATTACTGGTATTTAATAAGAAAAATACCTGCTATTTATTTATTCTAGTCATTTATCTAAGAATAGCAAAAGACCAAACAAAAAAACAAAAAAAAACCCTAGCAAAGTCTAAGAAGCTCTAGAGTCTGGGTCTGATCATCATTGATCAAGTTGAAGTGATCTTTAGCAGCTTTTGCTACAACGAGATCTTGTTCCCTTTTTATTGTGATCAACTATTATCTGATATGCAGGGCCAACTGAAACAAATCTGGGGTCTCCACAAGGTCATTTATTTGAAGCCCCCATCTTCAAGGCCTAAAGCTCAGTCTGCAATCTTCTCTGTCTACTCTAAACACAGAATGTGAGGGCTTGCGATAGGGGTTGGGAGGGAGCTGAAGTGGGAACAGAAAAAATAGTGTGTCCAGGACCAGTACATGTGTTTGTGGAATTCGAGGAATAGCGGATAGAGGTTTTGTGCTACATAAGGGTGATGGGGACTGAGTAATGAAAAAGGGGACAATGTCTGGATTCCCCAGGGAGCTCAAGTTATTTACATAGAGATCTCAGCCAACATGAAGCTACTTAGAGTTGACACCACACAGCTCTGGAACTTGAGCAGCAAACATCACATTGATGGGGTTTCCATATCCTTAGCATCCTTTGGGCTGCAGACTTAGACTTATTGTCTGAATCAGCCCACTGCATAACATTTCTTCGACTCATAAGCATTATGTGGGGAAGATACACTTGCATATATTATCCGCTAAGCATTACCTGAATATTGCATTCATTCTTTACTCTTATGGCTTAGGCATTTGTGATCTCATTCACATCTGACTTCATTCCACGCCTCGTGTACCTGTATATGTACAGTGAGAATGGCACCATGCATGGCTTCGTGAACCATACGCTATCCTCTTTTAATGTCAGCGATTTTCAAGGAGGAACAGCTCCAAATGACCCAATGGAACTTGGCTACGTGGTTCAGATATGCAGGTACTCTCTTGAATGATAGCCATTTTAAATTATTTTCCCTGTTGAATGGAGGTCCTAGCTTCTTCATGTGTCTAGTGGGACTCTTAGTTACACAGTCACATACCACCTGATTTAGGTCCTGTTGTAGTATATTGGCAGTTCAGTCTTCTTTATCCTATATAGAGAGCAGTTACCATTGAAATCTTTGCATATAGGTAAAGTTACCACAGCACTTGCAGCATATGCATTGCTTAGTTTGAAAAAAATGAGCTTACCATGTAAATGTTAAATACTTGCCAGGGCATTTGCAAAGTGTTTATTGCTGACTAAGTATTTATCAACTATTTGTGTTAGAGGAGGGAGCAAAAAAAAAAAACCCAAGCCTCCAACATTGTATGTAACTCCTCTATCCAACTTCAGGATCTAGCATGATTGGTGAGTTTAGGAGTTTATCTCCTCCACGTTTACAAAGTAATAACCACCATCCTTCAAGCTCAGGATAGGGCAACAACACTTCTTAGTCATCCAAAGCTGCTGGTGAATCAGTGCAAAACACTTTTCTCCTTTGCTTGACCCAAAAGCCTCTGCATCATTTCCAGTCACTACCAGTTTCTCCCTCTAGTTCTGTAATCATCTAAGGGTCTTCTGGAACATGCTAGTTCCAGGATAGTGCCAGTTTACTGAGATGATCTTATGTTTCCATGATTATATTTTTGAGGCTTGTAAAATATCATCACATCATAATGTTGTGCTGTGACATGATGTTTTGATGCCGTCACTTCACAGCATACTGATGCTTTGGGGCAACAAGATGATGTTTTGCCAAGATGTCACAATATTGCATCATGATTCAGCTTGGCAAGAATAGATTTAAATAGATAGATACCGGTAAACATCGATTTCAACTGCCGCATCGAAATAGACGGGGGGAAAAATATCCATTGGTTATAAATGGTGCAAGCGCAGCCTTCCCCATGCACCTTGTGTCTGCAAAGATTGGATGTCTCTGGCTCTGCAACAGTGCAGAGAGCCATCTGCAGCCTTGCTGTCACAGAAGTGAGGGAATGGGGCCATTGCAGAGAAGCTGCAGAGAGTCTATGTGGCTATGGGGCCACTTATGCTGGATTCCTTCAGCACAAAGTACAAGGAAGGCTATGGTCCTGGTGGGGCGGGGCAGAGCAGAGACACCCCCTCCCCCCCCCAGCCAAGGACGCAAGGAGAAGGACAAGCCTCTGGCCACCTGGAGGCCACCCTGCTGTTGAATGCCTCCTGCTTGGGGATGGATCCATTCAGCAGCAAGGTGGCCTCCTCTGAGGCAGAGTGTTCGTCTTCATCCTCCTCATTGCAGTCCTGGCTGGGGGGGTCTCTGCTTTGCTGGGCCAGCACTAAAGCCTCCTCTGCACCTTGTTCCCGAATGTCTTGGGCCCTTCAGCCCTTGGGTCCTTGCAGTCCAGCGGTCAGTGCTTGGAATTCCCTGCAACGTCATTGTCAGCACTTTCCCTAAATCCAACCACAACCTTATCTCCCTTAGCTTCCGACAACTTTAATAATCGAAATTGTTTAAAATAATAATAATAATAATCCATCTTAATCAAAAATGAAAAAAAATTAAAATTGAAGTCTGCCAACTCTAATCATGATGTACTATTGCAAGGACACTGCTTCAAGATCTACTTATCATACTGTCCAGTTGATCCAGTAGTTCAAGCTGACAATAATGGCAACTTTGTCTACACTATGGGCCCAATCCTGCCATCCCTCCTGGTGTGGAATGCCCATTGACTTCAGCACTGACAGAATTAAATCCTTGGTCTTAGGCCTATCTAAATTCTAATATACATGTAACTAGTGTGATCAAAACAAATGTTACATATTATTCACGTTTTTGAAGGAAAATTCTTGCTAAATATTTCAGCTGGTCAAGAAATCTGGGTCAGCATTGAAATGCATTCTTTGCCTAGGCTAACTTAGATATGCATCAGCTTCAAAATGTTCTCAAAGCCTGCAATTGGGGATCAAAGCCAAGAGCAGCAATGAGATCAATTCAAACAGCAAAGATAAGGACAAAGATTGGAGACATTACAGAAAAAAAAAATACAGGATTTTGGTCTGTTTCTATTGGAAAAATGACAAATTGACAAGAGGGGGGGGGGGAAGGCAGATCATTCAGAGTTTCTTAATTTACACTATTTACAACTATCAAAGAAATCAAAAGTTACTGTTAAGATGCCTATTAAAATTAAAAATCACTTTTACTGTGACATGAAAGTGAAAACCAACTAGAATCAGCAAAGTTATGTACTCTTGCCTACCTTTCCTTTCCTCTGTATCCCTGACGTGATCTCTCTTGAGGGAGGAAATACCAGTTTGATTGAAATGTTTTCAGTGTAGAATTATGACTAGACGGGAAGAGTAGGCTTCATGACCCAATACACAGCACTGTATTTTCTTCTCTCCTTTCCCCACAAGTCCCTTTAATTCCCATTCCATCTTTCTCTCACACTCCCTTTCTTCTTGTAAAATCACCTTTCAGAATATGGAGATATAATTCCTGGATACATATATAATAGAATGGTGCTAATTTAAATTCTTCCATTTTTTGGTCAAGATACTTTTTAAAAACAAAATAAAATTGCTGTTGATACATCAGATTCATAGAATATATAAGCCAGTGCTATGGTGAAATTCTTCTTTCATATCCACTCAGCAAGAGCTTGACTCCAATCTTCTGTTCTTCCTATCTGTGAAAATCTAAATATTGGAGTTCTGATCCACCATATCAATCTGAGATCAGTATTTTGCTCTTATAGCTGCACCTGAAACATAAAATACCTCCCAAACTTGGAAGAAGTTGAGATTGTGATCTGACTTTTGCAGCTCAGCTCCTCTTTACTCTTTATATTGTTCATAAAGATCAGAAAGCATAAACATTTAAGAATCGTCATCTTCTAATCCACATAACATTTCAAGGCTGTATTAGTTTTGTCTTGTTTGGATGGCTTTTTACACAGCCTTTCTGTAAGAGGGATTTGTATCAAGAAGGTCTGAATTAGTGTTTAATGCATATTCCGTACTAAATCCTAATTGTGCGAACATTTTAAAACAACATCCTTGATTTATTATGTCTTGTTTTACAGATACAAAGATTACCGAGAACCCCCATGGTCTGAAAACAAATATGAAATTTCAAAGGACTTCTGGGCTGTCCTAGCAGCAAGATTAGCATTTGTGATAGTTTTTCAGGTACTGTTTGATGTAAATCTTTTCAGACTTCTAACAAGGAAAGAGACATCACATATACATACATAAAACTATTCCTTAACTAAATGAGATGAGAGTCCACTGAATATCATTTACCAATCAGAGGTCCTTCCTGAGGGCAGTGATCTTCACTACCTTCTCAAGCATGATGCAAAGCCATAGAACAGCCACAGGATGTATCCTCCACAGGGATACACTGCTCCCTGCACCACATGCAGTGTATATAGACCAGTAACTTTAATGGGAGGTGAGGCATCACACAGGTCCCATTTAAATCCTACAAGCAGGGGTTGAGAAAGGATTTAAGAGCAGACTTGGAGTAACCAATGTGCACTCAGTACACTTGCACAGGTCTCCCAACATAGGGGGTGCTCTGCTCACCGGATTTGATGGGTGGCATTGCAATGGGCCAAACTTGAGTGGCACTGTGATTCCATGTGCCATGTAGAAATGACACTCATTCAAATTTGGCCTGGCCGCCTGCCCGTCTTTTCCTGCGAGCAGGGGGCAGGCAGTGGGAGTGAAGAGAGTCGCTGGGTGGCCAGGATTAGGAGGAGCCTCCCTAGCCCAGGACAGCAGCAGAGTGCTGGGCTGGGACAGGAATGAATGGGGGTCCCACTGGTGAGCCCCCAGGAAGATCCCAAGGCAGAGGGTGAGGGACTGGGGGTAAGTTGTTGGTGGGCTATAGGGCAAGTGGGATGGGATTTAGGGCTGTGGGTGAGAGGTGGAGGCAAGTGGGGAATGTTAAGAAGCAGTGGGGTGAATTATGAGGGCTGTTGGGGAACAGTGGGGCATGTTGGGGGGCCAGGATGTGGGGGCTATGGCAACTGGGGCTGTGGTTCTGGGGGCTTCAGTGGGGGGGGATGTATGTCAGGGCTGATGGGATATATGGGGGGCTGTCAGGATAAGTGGGGACTGGGGAAGGGCTGTTGATGTATATATTGGTCGGGAGGTGCATTTGGGGCTTGGTGTGGTAAGTATGTATGGGTTGGGTGTGCTTGCTGAACGGCCCTCTATTTATCTTGTGCAAATCTGGCAGCAGCTGGAACAAAGCTCGAGCAGTCACAGCATCCCTCAGGTTTGGCCCAGCCACCCCTCTGTCATGACAGCAGATGAGGTGTGGCGGTCACTGGACCTAATTTGAATGTAGGTCCCTGTGGCAGGCCTGGCACCACACCGCCCCTTTGTGGCAGGGGTGGGATGGAGTGTCGGAACCTCACCACTCCCAAGTTCGTGTGCTTGCCTCTCTGTTGGCGGCCCGATGGGCCTAATGGCCACGCAATCAGCCCTTTGGAAGGGTAATGTGCCCTAATGGCCAGAGTCCATATAAATTACTCCTAGCATTGGAGCAGTGCGGCCCAATGGCCAGAGTCCATATAATTTCCCCCCTCACCGGTGGGGTAGTGTGGCCTAGCAGCCAGAGTCCGGGTAACTTGCCCAAGTGTCAGGGTAGTGTGGCCCAAGGGCCAGAGCCCATATAATCACCCATCTCAGACAGGGTAGCCCGACCTAGGGCCCTGGTAGTGGCAAGTTCCCCTTGCCACGAGCTAGGCGGGGATCCGCCCGAAACACGCCGAGCATCTGTGAGGCTCTAATGCCGTTTTCCTCTAAAGTTCCCCTGGGTCATTTCCTACCATAAACTCTGGGTTCACTGCTTCGGGTGGTCCTCCGTTCTGTTCCCCTGCTGTGACGTACTCCGTCTGGGCATCAGGGTGCATCCCAGCTTGGCTGGCTTCCGGATCCTGGAGCGCAGGCTGTCCCTCCTTGGGAGCTGGCAGCGTGTCTCCTTCCCCTCCAGCAGTCAGCCCAGACTGAGCAGCTCTGCAGGTTTTTATACTTGTTCTCCAGTTGGAGCATGCCCAGCAGAGCCTCAGGGGCATGGCTTCCTCTGCTAGACAGGAAGGGTTAACCCCTGCGGTACCAGTGCGGTGCTGCTCTGCCCCATCACAGTCCCCAATTTCCATAGAACACAGGGCCTCAAAATTATTTAAACAAAGCCTGTTTAAGTGATACGTAGGCTGCTATGCTAGTCCTGAGTGGATTTCATCTAGAGTCCTTTCTGGAGCAGGCCAAAAAATGAATTTCTAGCCATGGGAAACGCCAAGATTTCAAAATTTGATTTCCTCTGAAATTGGGAGGAAAAGGCCAAAATCTCTGCATTTTTTGCTAAATAAAAATATTTCACATAATGGATTACATAAACATCAGAATTGAAATAAAAACTAAACATTTGACCTTATTGAAATGTTTTGATACTATTCCATCAACATTTTTGACAAAATAGTTATGTTCCCATGAAATGTTCTGTTTTGTCAAATCAGCATTTTGTAACAGTGAACTGTTCCGTCAGAAAATCTCAGCCTACTTAGTCATTTTTCATGCACTGTTAATGTCAAGCATAAATAGCCATATACCAACTACAGTATTTCCCTCTGTCTTCTCATTACAGTATAGTTTCTGCATCAGTCAGGGAGACCTAGCCCTACCATTTTCCCCTATGGGAAATTGATGGTAAAGTTAAATAGCTGACACATGGAACTTTCAACATACTTGTGATGAAGAGAAAGGCCCAGCCTAGAATATTGCCCCTACTGAACTACAACAAAAATCTAAATATCTATATATATATATTCTCCTTTCATTTGACCTTGCTAACATTTTCTTAAAATCTATTTTTCAGAACTTGGTCATGTTTATGAGTGACTTTGTGGACTGGATTATCCCAGACATTCCCAAGGACATTAGTCAGCAGATTCATAAAGAGAAAGTTCTCATGGTGGAGGTGTTCATGAAAGAAGAACAGGGAAAGCTGCAAATGCTAGAAACCTGGAAAGACAAGGACATGAAAAAAGGTGAAAACTGTAACAACCACAGCCCCAAGCTCTCAAGGAGCCAAAGCGGGAGCATGTCCTCCTGCCATTCATATCACATTGATGTATAGAAGAGGAGGGTATTTTTGTTTTGTTGAGGCATTCCATTGATGAACAAGCCATCACTTAAAGGGCAAGACTTGATTTATGGACAACCAGGTGAATGTTTAAGTATGTGCAACCATTTTGCTCCATCTTTGTGAGAAGTGCACGTCTTACAAATATGGAAGGCCACATTCTATTGCGGATAGGAATTTTTTTTTAAGTAATGCAGGGAATTTTTATATTTCATAGTTAGATAACACTATGGATGTTAGTGTGTGTTAACAAAATGCTGGTACTTAGAAATGTTCTCTGAGAATCTGACTTTAGCTTATTAAGAAATAACCAAAGTAAATTTCAAATCATAATTTTAAATCTTTTTAGCAGTCCATTCCTGAAAGGCTTCGGGCAGATCTACAAAATATATGCAAAGTCAATTTTACAATGTGCTCTAGCATTTCATATAACAGGAGAAAGGAAATAATATAACCTTTATAAGGCATCTTCAGTTTCAAAAGATGCAAGTCAGCTCCCCTGCCAGACATAATCTGGATTTGAACCCGCAGATCCTAGGCAAACAAAACTCCCATTGCAGTCACTAGGCTATATACACTGAAGCTGGTGCAGGGTAAATTACCCATTGGGAGATTCACCCTATCGACAGGGATGGGGGGGAAGAGGGGAGAGAGAATAGCTTTTTTTTTTTTTAAAGCTGGGACTCCATAGGGACCCTGCTAGCAGTCTGCTGTGCACTAGAGTCTTCCATTTGGGCACTTCCCCACTCAGAAAAATGAGAAGATGAAGTCAGCGCAGAACACGTTAACCTTAACCCCAACTCTGTGCGCCACTGACAGCTCTTCACTGACCCAAAAAGCTCATCAGGTGAACGATTCGTGTTGATGCAGGTGCTCCAGTGCCCTAGACAGTACTGTGGTCTTGTTATAGTATACTAAGGGTTCTGAAGCAGTAGCAGCACAGCAGCAGCACAATTTCATAGGATTTCCCAGCAGCCAGAGCACTGTGGAGCATTTTTAAAAGTGTCCTGAATTAATGAGCACATGTATAGCTACAGTAATTTACACTGCCCCACCTAATATCCAGGCACCATCGTTGCTGAAAGGATACACTGAATCCACCTTTCCTCACCAGCTCCTTCTCTATAGCTCACTCTCCTTTGCAATGAAGAGGAGGTCACATGGTCACAGCCACTTTGCTTGGCTGCAGTCTCCCCAGCATGGCAGACTTTCTGATACTAATAACATCTACCACCGACTATGCCAGGAAGAATAAGAGTAGATTCTGTGTGAATATGATCTTATTGTCTTTAATGGAAGTTTTGCCTACTCTGGAACTACAGGATCAGAACTTCAATTACAGGACTTTTATTTTGTCTTAAAAAAAATTATAGACATTTCCTTAAAATAAATCTAAAATCCTTATCTGGAATGCATATCCAGACCCCATCAGTGCAACTCTTTTCATGTATAGTACATTTTTAGTTTAAGGTTTGTCTAGTGATAAACTGCATTTCCTAATAATATTGGTGCAATTAACCTCATTCCCTTTAACACCTTCTCTTGTCCATGGCACTTATACTGAAAACAGCAAGCTAAACAATAAACTAAACCAAATAACTAAAATAAAACCAAAAGTTTCAGTCTATCTACTGTATGGTTTGTTCCAAAATCAAATGTCAAAAGACTTATACTTCATGAAAATAAGTGGGGGGGGAGGGTGTCTTTTTTATTTTTGTTTGCCAACATAATTTAAAGATTTAAAATAGAACTTTAAAAATACCACACTTTGTTTTGTAATATTTATTGGTTTTACTATAAAGTATGTGATTACCTTCAGATGTTTTTTCTGTAGTCTGTTCAAAAAGACACCAGAAGAGAAATTATGTGGAAAGAAGTGAATTATAATAACCAAATATTGTTAAAACTAATTTAAAATATTGATCCAACCAAAGATTTGTATTAATAAAGGGCTTATATTTTGTTAATGCTTGTTTCTCTAATATTTTGACTTGCAGGAATGTCACTATTTTTTTTTAATTATAATTTGAGATGTTTAGTAAAATAGGGCCAAATCCTGTTTGATTTATTCTCACACAGAGTAAGCACTATGCCTGGTAGTACCTGTATGCAAAATCAGGCTCACTGACTGCAGCAGAGTCACTAGCATGAGTAAGACAAGCAGAGTTTTGTCCATACTCCTTAGAGAAAATATAATCTTTATTTCATTCATTAATAACCTAAAAAGTCTAGAAAGAAACAGACACATTTTATGAAGATAAATGTGAGGGAACTTACTCTGAAGGAATTTCAACTGTAAATAATTTATCTAATATTCTTGGCTTAATACTGACATTCCTGTAAATAGTAAACTATACCCAAGTACATATGTCATAAATTTTATTATTTGCTGAAGTCATAAGAGTAACTGATGGTTATACTCTCTTTTGTACAGTAAATTGTTTGTTTGAAATGAGATTTTGTATATAAATACTGTATTACTACTTAGATGACTATATAAAAATCCTTTCATGGAAACCATTTTTTAAGAAAAGTAAATGCTTTAATTTTTTTGTTCAACATTTATTCAGAATAAATTTAAATATACAAGAGTTTCTCCTGTGGGACAGATTCTATTCCCCGTCATCACCAAAGACTGTGTGCAAACATGAGTATTGTTGGACTTGAGAGACGTGGAAAATGAGTTGAATGAATGCACTACAGTTTGCATAAATGTAGTAATATTGTTACATGCAGTACTCCTTACACCAGTGGTGGGCAACCTGCGGCCCACGGGCTGCACGCGGCCCATCAGGGTAATCTGCTGGCGGGCCGCAAGACAGTTTGTTTATATTGACTGTCTGCAGGCACGGCCACCCGCAGCTCCGAGTGGCCGCAGTTCGCTGTTCTCGGCCAATGGGAGCCGTGAGAAGTGGTGCGGGCTTCAGGGATGTGCTGGCCGCCGCTTCTCGCAGCTCCCATTAGCCGAAAACAGCGAACCGCGGTCACTCTGGGAGCTGCGGGCAGCCGTGCCTGCAGATGGTCAATGTAAACAAACTGTCTTGCGGCCCGCCAGCAGATTACCCTGACAGGCCGCCACCACTGCTTTACGCTGTGCTTTGTCTGTGTGGGCATTAGTGACAAGAGCTGAGAAATCTTTCTGCCATTATACATGAATCAATCTGTTTATAGATACAATTGTAAGCAGAGCTGGTGCTAGGCATAAGCAGACTAAGCAGTTAGGGCCCTGAGCAGTTCAAGCACTATTCATAATTAATGTGTTGGGGGAGCAAAATATTCCTGCTGAGGGCCCCCAATGGACTAGCACCGGCACTGATTGTTAGCCCCTTGTGTGAGATGCTGACTGCCCTCATCTCCCATTGACTTCAGTCAGAGCTGAGGCTGCTCAGCACCTAAGAGTCTTCATTAGCATAGTTTTAATTAGACTCCTGGCAAAGATGTGTGTTTGAATAGCAGGTAAAAATGTTATTGTGCCACAGGGTAAAACTAAAGCAGTAACACTGGCTCATTCTCTCAAATCGCTCTTTGCTTAACTCATCTCAGATTGTGGAAGAGTAGAGAAGAGGAAAGGGGTAGATTGTGCAGATTATATTCTTATTGCAGTTGTCAGACCTGTTCAACTAACATGGTTGGATTTAGCAGTTTAATTTTCATGTCCTCCAACCTTTGAATTGGAGTTTCCAGTAGAGCAAAAAAGAAAAAATGTTCTTTCATACCAGTCTTCTCTTTCAGCCCCCAAAATCTGCAATTCAGCTAACTTTGATTGGTGCACTTAGAATTTAACTAGAAAGTAGCGTGTAATGTTCTGAGATATTGGATATTGAAAAGTGTTCCTAGACTACACACAGACACTTTACATAGTTTATTTTTAGGAGTTTAATATAACATATAAGGCCCCAAATCAGAAAAGCATTAAAACACACACTTAACTTGAAACATTGGTTTCAGTGGCCTGATTAATGTGCAGTGTTTTATATTATTGTGCTTGGGCTGGTGTGTTATCCAAACAAAGGTAAGGCCTTAGTTTTGTACTAAAGATGTCTTATCAAATATACTAAGAACAAACTTTAACAATAACCCATGTCAAACACAGAGTCACAGTTCATGTTATTCAGGTAATAGATTTGGACCAGAGTGAGCAAATCTTGTAAAAAGACGATAAGGCATTGATTAACTGGTGGTTGGTTTGACTCTGTCACTTCTGAAAGACTGATGACAAAGTAGGAGGTAGGTGTGCCATAGAGATGAGAATTCAGTTAGTTATCTGATGCTAATGAAAGCTCTGTTTATATTCTTGGTGCAAGTGGAGGCAAGTTTGTTTCACTTTTCAGATAACAGTTTGAGGAATGATTATGTTCATAAAAGATTAAACAAACACCGGTGAGCATTAATTCACAACCAGGGTGCTGGGAGTGAGGAAGAAATAATAGTACTAGTTACAAAGACCTGAATGTGATTCTCAGCTACAGTGGCCAGGAGTCCAGTGTGTGAAGATGGGTAGCACTTGCATCTCCCTCAGCTGAGTACAGCATTAACATGAAGGTGTCTGCTCTCTGACATCCTATCAATTAGCACACTAGGGTTGCTTCCTGCAGAGAATGTAGAATGCTAGTGATCCCACAAATGCAAAAGCAATTTTCTCCAAGGGGCAAAAAAAATTTTGAATGCAAAGATATAACTGTGTGAATGTGTGAAATAGAAAAGTAATAGTCCACTGTGCACTTAGCAAGTGGAGACTGAAGGGCAGGAAAAATTAGAGTTGGAAGTGTTTAGCTAGAACATTTTAAAATATTGCTATAATACACTACTTATCTTTCACTAACAAAAGTAGGAAAGACAATTTCTGTTTGTATGTTTGAAGCGGAAATTACTCACACCCTATTCTGTTGACATTACAAGACTAAACGTTCTGGATTTCCTTGTCATTGTGTTTCTAAGTTACTGCACTACAAATACTTTGCAGACTTAAATTGCTTGAGGGTAAATAAGACTCAAGTCAAGGCACAGATACGCTTTTATTTTTAACCCTTCAGTGATGTATGGTACTGTAGCTGCTAATGATCTTTCTGGTTGTTGCATGATATTTAATAATAAAAATTTGCTTTTCATCTTCTTACTTGAGAGGGTTGGGTAGCACTGACGCTTTTATATAATTTGAAAGCATTTTAATTTTCCAATGACATTTTCAGAAGTAAAGAACTCTCCTTGGTTTTTATCCTTGTCTTAAAATTCACTATTATTCTACTCATTTTGCACAATTATTTTCACATGTAAGCTGCTATTTTTCAAGACTTAAACACAATATGCCATTTTTAATACAGTAATAAATTACAATAGTATTTTTTTATTTTAGCCAAACAGACACATACTTAGGGAAAGAAAGTAATTATTTAAATGGGACATCATTTTTTTTAAAAGACCTAAAGGACACTTTAAAAGTATCTCTCTATTTTTAGCATCCTCTTTTAGGGCCTAATCCAAACCCTACTGAAATCAAAGGAAGTCTTTCTTTGGCTCCCTTTGACTTCAGTGTAAATCAAATTACTAAGAAAGGGAAAGTTGACAGTAATGAATACAAATCAGAAGCTAGGAATTACAGAAAATTGATAAAGGAAGCAAAAGGACACAAGGAGAAATCAATGGTCAGAGGAATTAAGAACTAACTATAAGATGGAGGTTTTTAAGTGTAATGGGAATAAAAAGAATCCTAACAATGATTAGTAGATGGAAATGGTAGAATTGTCAATAATAATGCAGAAAAGAAAAAAGTGTACAATAAATATTTCTGTTCTGTATTTGGGACAGTTTCATGTAGTCATATCATATAATGGGGGTGAAACACTTTCCAATAGGAACTCAGAATGTTAAACAGCTACAGTAACTCCTTGCTTAACGTTGTAGTTATGTTCCTGAAAAATGCAACTTTAAGCGAAACGATGTTAAGCAAATCCAATTTCCCCATAAGAATTAATGTAAATGGGGAGGTTAGGTTCCAGGGAAATTTTTTTCACCAGACAAAAAATTATATAGATATATACACACAGTATACGTTTTTAAACAAACAATTTAATACTGTTCACAGCTATGATGATTGTGAAGCTTGGTTGAGGTGGTGAAGTTACAGGATGGAAGAGAGAGGGATATTTCCCAGGGATTGCCTTGCTGCTAAATGATGAACTAGCACTCGACTGAGCCCTCAAGGGTTAATGCATTGTTGTTAATGTAGCCTCTCACACAGGGCAGCATGAACACGAGGGAGGGGAGACAGCATAGCAGACAGAGACAGACACACACCTTGTGTGTGGGAGAGAGAGAGATGCACACTGCCCCTTTAAGTAAGCTGACCCACTCTTAAGTGCATTGCCTTTTTAAAGGGATCAGGAAGTTGAGATAGCAGCTGCTGCCCCAAGCTCTCTGTTTCTCTCCATCCGTGTCCCCTCCCTGCTCTATATGGAGAAGGGGTAAGTGAGGTGCAGGAGCGGTGGGGAGGGGGAAACCCTAACATTAGCCCCCTCTTCTCCCCCTGCACAGCAAGCATGAGTTTCTGGGAGCAGCTCCAAGGCAGAGGGCAGGAGCAGTACATGGCAGTGGGGGAGGGACAGCTGAACTGCCGGCAATTGATACCCTGCTGGGCGGTTCCAGCACAGGGAACTTAGGGGAGCGGGGAGCTGATAGGGGGCTGCCGGTCCACCCTGGTTCCAAGCCCCCACCAGCTAGCTGCAATGGGCTGCTCTTTCTGCAAGCAATGGACAAAGCAGGCAGCTGCCAAACGATGTTAGAAGGGAGCATTGCACAACTTTAAACGAGTATGTTCCCTAACAGATCAGCAACGAAACGTTAACCGGGACGACTTTAAGTGAGGAGTTACTGTACTAACATTAGACATTTTTAAATCAGCAAGTCCAGATAACTTGCCTCTGAGAATTTTAAAAGAGCTGGCCAGGGCGCTCACTAGATCATTGATTCTCAATAACTCTTGGAACACTGGGAAAGTTACAGTGGATTGGAAGAAAGCTAATGTGCCAATATTTTACAAGGGCAAACTGGACAACACAGTTCATTATGGGCCTATCAACCTGATATTGATCCCAGGCAAAATAATGGAATCGGGTGATATGGAACTCAATAAAGAATTAAAGGAGGTAATATAAGTAACGTCAATCAACATAGGTTTATGGAACTAAATCCTTTCAAACTAAAAATATATTTTATTGATTACATTAGAAATTTGAATAACGGTAATAGTTTTGATGTAATAGACTTCTGTAAGGCATTTGACTTGGTACTGCACATTTTGATAAAAAACTTCAACACAAAATTAACACGGCACACATTAAATGGATTAAACACTGGCTAATTGACAGATCTCAACATGTAACGGTAAACAGGGAATCATTTTCAATCAGGTGTGCTTCTAGTGGAGTCCCAGAGGGATCCATTCTTGGCTCTACACTATTTTAACATTTTTATCAATGACCTGGAAGAAAACATCTGATAAAGTTTGCAGATGACCCAGAGACTGGGGCAGTGGTAAGTAATGATAAGCTGGGCTCAAGCAAACAATGTGCATTATTAATATGGCACAAAGTTA